GACTAAGTAATAATTTCATTATTGATCTACTTGTAGCCAATGATATCTTATTTGACAGCTGTATTAGCACAGAGTTGATAAAATAACCACCAAGAAAAGGGACATTTCATGCAGCTAGAGCTAAGCTCTTGAGAGTAGATGTGCAATATTCATTAAAATTGTTTAACATTAAAAATAGCTCATGTATCCTACTTACTGCTATGGTAAATGTCTGGAGGGTCAGCCGTCTCTAGACTGGGAACTATTGCCCTGCCCATTCCACCTGATTTAATCAGCAAACATTTACAGAGATGGGGGTTAAAGAGAAGAATATGAAGCCAGCCCATGAAGGAAGTCTATGGACTGGAGGAGACAGATAAGCATTTAATTAAAAGATTAGAAGCCCCTTAATAAGTTGCCCATGGTAGAGTGGGGTCAAAAGAGGAAAAGGATCAAGTCTGCTTGAGTGAATCAGAAAAGCCCTCAGGAAGGATAGGCCTAAACCAGGTCTTAAAGGGATGAGTAAGGAAATTTGTCAGATCAACTTATTCCAGTATTCAGCAACTCTCAAAGCTGCCTGCCCAGAACAATGAGCAACACAAGTTAGAACTTACCTCCATACCTTCACTCCTAAACACACACACACACACACACACACACACACACACACACACACACACACCCCAAACTCAAGAAAAAGTGGATATATTCTGTTTTTAAATATATGTATTATATTTTTGACTATGAGAGTGTACTGAAATCATCCGGGGAGCATTTTGTTTTCAAAATACTCATAATCTCTACTCATAATCAGTGTGAATTAGGACCGGGGCACTCACTAAAATAAAGGTTTACACAGTATTGGTCCTTAATGTGGAGATAATTAGACTAAAGGATCTCCTGGTCTCCTACTCTAAATTTCCTCTGGGAACAGAAGACTTTTCTCTGCTACAATGATGAGAAGACTGTCCTACAGAAACCAGAGCTATGTCAGTCACAACCCCTCTGAGTATTTCCAGGATACGAGATGGAAAGACCTCAGCTTCCAAAGAGTAGGTTCCTGTCCTCCATGATGGGAGTAGGGCTGTTTCTCCAGCTCTGTCAGGTGATTGCAGTCAGCAGTACTACCTGAATGCTCGCTTCTGGAGTAAACTAGCAAGTCATCACTCCTAGCACTTTTTCCTTCCAAGAAAACATAACCCCACTGAGCTCGTTGTTAGTTCACTCTACTTTGTTTGATCTAAGGGAACAGGGAGTCTTTGAGAACCTCTCTTGGGTGGAAGGGCAGGCCCACATCTGCTGATTATTTACCCTCATGCCCCATGGCACCCAACTGTGTCCTGCTGAGAAGCTATAGAACTCCATGAGCCAGTCTTCAAATCTGACAGTGATGGCGCCCATGGAATGATGGGCTGTGTGCAGACACTTTTCCCAGTAAGATCTGTGGCTCATGTGGTGTTCATATTTTCAACTCAGGAGCCTGGTTTTCCGCTTCTCAGGTCTAAGCTTCCTGTATGCTGGGGTGGGTGGAAGATGAGTGCGGAGGAGTTGGAGGAGTCAGAGAGAAGTTCAAATTCAGTGTTGGGGAGAAATGCCTTCCTCTTTCCTCTTGGAAGCTGGACTATGTTTGGGGCATGTGTCTGCAGCTGCAGTCTTCCTTTCCAAACAGACTAACAGCTCTTTGAAGAAACATAAGAAGATACCTGCTTCTCTTTCCTATTCAATCTCGAATCTGTCAGAATTGTAGAGTTTGTGGGTAAGAGACCCAAAAAATACACGGAATTAACAACTCTTCATTTACTGAGCAGTTATGAAGAGCTGGCTATATGTGCGATGCTGGGGAAATACCCATGGTAAGACACAGTCCTTGCCTTCTTTAAGCTCCCTGCCTGGGGAGAAAGCTAGACAAGGACACACATGAGTTATAAATCATTCAGAATTATTGTAACGCTCTAAGCAGAAATATGGATAGCCAAAAAATCAAGCAGCTTGGCGATCTCCAAGTGCCCCGGCCTGCCTCCCAAACCTCACCTGAAACCACTCTCTGTCTTGTTTACTTTTCACCTTTTTCATATTTGTCTTCTCTTTGTTGCTCAAACTGTCTTTTCCAGCTCAGGGCCTCCGCACTTGCCGTAACCTCCACCTAGGACACCCTTTCCCCAGCTTTGGGGAAGTCTGCCTCATTTTTGCCCTTCAGTTTTTGATTTAAATGCCTCCTCCTCAAAGGGACCGTCTTTATTTCTATACCATCTAAACTCAATGTTCTCAGGCTCAGAAGTTATAGTTTTACTTGATTACTCCATTCTTATCTAAATATTTTTAACGCTGACAATGGAAAACAGCACCAGGTACTTGCTAAAGGTAGCAAGACAGTATTCAGGCTTCTTCAGTAGGAGAGACAGACTAGTGTAAACCGAGCTCAATTCCCACCAATACAGGGAAATAAGTTTGTAAAGGGAGGGCAAAGAGGGAATAAAAGTCATCTGTCAGGAAGTGGGAAAACAGAAACCAAAGGAAACTAGGGGGGCTACAGAGAAATTGCAGAAGCAAAATTACAGAAGGAGGTAAATAAAGAATGGTTTAGTGATGTGGGCTGGAATACTAAAATGGTTTGGTAATATGGGCTGGAACAATGTATTTTCTGAGATCTGGCAGCATTGCCTTGTCTCCGCTCCCCTCTCCTCCTCTCCCCTCCGCTCCCCTCCCCTCCCCTCTCCTCTCTTTTTTTCTTGAGACAGTCTCACTCGGTCTTCCAGGCTGGAGTGCAGTGATGTGATCTCATATCACTGCAACCTTTACCTCATGGGTTCAAGAAATTCTCCTGCCTCAGACTCCCGAATAGCTGGGACTACAGGCATGTACCACCACGCCCAGCTAATTTTTGTATTTTTTAAAGTAGAGATGGGGTTTCACTATGTTGTTCAGGCTGGTCTCAAACTCCTGACCTCAAGTAATCCGCCCACCTCAGACTCCTAAATTGCTGGGATTACAGGTGCGAGCCACCATGCCCAGCCAGCATTGTCTTTTCTTGAGCAAGGACAGCCTGGGGCTGAGGTCACCTTAGGGACATAACCTAGTGGAAGCTTGAGGTCAGCTTTAGGGACACAACCTAGTGCAGGTGGGAGGCTGGCTGAAGTGTGGTCAAGTCTCTTGGCACAGTGTTCAGGCAAGTCCTTTGTGTATGGTTCACAACACACGCATTTATATTTAGGTTTTTGTTTTTTTTTTTTTTTTAGTCAATATCTGGAGTTTGTTGCTATCTGCAGTTACTCTCAAACAGAACAAGACCTAACCACATTTTAAATTCCTGTTTTTCTTTGGTTTGCATTCAGCTACCATGTGAGATAATCTGAGATTTATCATAGTTATTAGATATTCTAATAATTAAGATGTTGTTATTGTTAGTAGTATATTTTACTGGTTTTTGTTTTCTCCTTTTCTCCTTTTACCTCACATCTTCCTCTTGGATTTGTTTTTGTTTGTTTTGCCAAGTACAATTTCTAGTAACTTTTTCTGTTATAATTAAAAGATGGTAAACTATCCAAGTCAGTGATAAGTGTCTATTTTGTACTTTCATTTGAAGTGAACAATAGTTTTGCTGGGTATAGAAATCTGATCATAATGTTATATTTTCCTCTTGCATCCAGTGTTGTGAATGAGGAGATTTATACCAATATAATTTATATTCTCTTATAAACAAGATTTCTTTCTCCTTGCCTGAAAAGTTTTTGAATTTCCCTAATTTTTAGTGTTCTAAAACTTTTTAAACATGTTTAAATCTGGAATAGTTTACATTCCTTCTGTCCAGAACCTAACAGTCTTTTTAAATCTGAAACTCATGTCTTCTTCAAGCTGAATATGTTTCTTCTATTTTTTTTTTACTATTTCTTTCTATGCTCTGTGTTCTTTTCCCCTAGAACCCCTCTTAAAAATTCTGATTTGTACATTCAGTACAACTACTGATTTTTCCTTTTATTTCAACAAACCACCCTATGTCTAAGATCTCTAGTCAATTATTTTTATTTGGATGCAATGTACTCTCTCATCTCTCTATAATTTCTGTATTAATTTGATTTCCTTAGTTCTCAGAACTTGGGTTTTTTTGAGTTTGCTGTCTTCCTTTATTAGACTGACTTTCTTAAATGTCTGATGTGTCTGATGTTTTGTGTTGATCTTTGTATTTCTGAGTCTCTGTTTGTCTTTTTGAGAGCTGATCGTTACTGGCTATTTCCTGTGATGATAAAACCAAGGTGAGATGTTTTTCTTACTGGGAGGGTCAGTTGCTAGGCTTCTGGTCACCAAGTCTCCTTGTTTTTGTTGACTATCATCAGCCACTCAGGGGGTTATTCTGCCTCTCAGGGCCAATGCCTCCACTTAGTGCTCCTGCCTAGGGAGGACCCTTCTGCTACTGCCCTTACAAGTGGGTGCTAATAGCAGGAAGAAGAGAGAAGCAAGCCATCTGGTTTATTCTACTGTGATATTGTAGAAGTCACCTTGACTATCAAGAGCTCCCTAGGGATCTCTCCTGCCCCACTATCCAATCCTTAGAAGCTGTGCAGAGTATTTGAAGCTACTCCCAACTGCGAGCAGGCACCCCCTGAGTGTGTTTAGGGCTGAGGCTTCATCAATTATACATATCCCATCTGCTTCAATCCTCTCAGGAATTCTTTATAATTTCTGGTCTATTTAGAGTAGTTCTTATTTTTCAACATTGTTATGGATAAGTTTAGTTTATATATTTGGGGCAGGAAAAGGAAATTTTAGCAAGTGCTCAGTTTATCATCTTAATAGCATCTCCTATATTTAATTTCAGATTTGTTTTTGATACATAGCTGTACAAGAGCTATAAGCATATATCCAATTTATGTGTATACATTTAAATAATATTATAATTAAAATAATTGAACACTAAGAAACACCATATTTTTAAAAAAATTTCTTTAGAAGACCATCTATATATTATTCCTGTTTTAGAAATATTGTTCTGGGTTCTTAAATGAGAATGTATTTTATTGAGACTTGATTTGAGAATTGCAGAGGAAGAGATGAAAAGCAATACCCCCTGCCTCAGCCATGAAGCCTTCACTATAGAAACAACACATGTGCCGATGGTCCCCTGGAATGACCTCTCTGTTCAGGCCATCACAGTCCATTTGGTCCTGCCAACCTGATGCCCAAGTCCAACAGATGGAAGGAAGGAAGAGAAAGCTGAGATGCAGGTGACATGGCTTATGCAATATTTTTATTGTGCCAGTATTCAAATGTATTATAATGATTTGTTCTGACCGACAATAATCTGGATGTTTTGATATCAGAGGGTTGGGTATTACCTTCGTTTTACAAATAAGAAAAACAGACACTTAGACAAATCAGGTGACCTTCCCAAGGTCCCACTGTCACTCTTGACTATTAAGTCAAAATCCTTTACAGGGTATGTCAGTCAGCACCCTAGCAGGACATAGACAGCATACTGAAATTAGGACACCTTAAAAAGGGGCTACTTGCAATGATATGGAGAGTGTACAGGAACCACAAGGCAAAATTCCTGTCCTTAAGGCTAGTGAAGAGTGGAGCAGTTGCCACCACTAGGTTGATGGAACAAGGGCAGAAATGGTTTCTTTGTGGGCTCCTAACCTTTTGTCGCTCTGATGAACTCCAATGACCCCAATGATCCAATGACTCCAATGATCTCAAGTTAATGTCTTTAAATGAATTTAATAAAATACTTAGAAAAAGAATACAATGATATTAAAATCCAGTGAATAAAATATGTTAATAAGTGTGTAATACATTAACATAAGAGTTTCTTTATTAACACACTATCTAACAAGGCTTGATGGTAGATCTAATAATGACTGCAACTTCAAAATAGTGGTGAGCATGAAAGACACTCTGTTACGCCTGCCCACACTGTGATATAATATGAAAATACTCATAACAGCAGTCACAGGCATTGCTAATACCATTAGGATGTGTTGCCTAGCTTGGATTGAAGGAAATGGTCAATTCTGGTTGGAGATTAATGATTATAAAGATGTATTTTTAATTTCTCCGTTGAAGTTCACACACCTCCTAAACTTTATTTACAGATCTCAGATTGACAACTTCTTGGCTATTGGAAACCAGAAGAAAAGAGTCATGTAAAGAGGTTACTCGAGAGAAACAGCAACCCAAGTTAGAGGGACAGAGCCAGCACAAAGACCACATCACAAGGAGGAACAAATACCCCAACGACCTTCTTCTCTTTCTACCCCATCTCATGCCCGCTTTCCCCATTGTTGTAGTTCATGCAGATTGGCTTCTCAGGCGAGAGAACAGGGTGAGGAAAGCTGGAGAGTGAATCTGGAGGCAAGCTAAAGGCATCCACCTATCAACAATCTGCCAATCTGCCTATATCTACCCCTCATCCACCTGCTCCCCACCTCTTTGCTCTACGTAGTCAAGACTGACTTATTTGAGTGAGAGTAAGTCAGAAATAAACTGGAAAGTATTCAGCCCCCTCCAGTGTCAAGGGATATTTCTACCCTATGGAAAATTTTGCCTCACCCCTATTCATATTTGATTCTACATTCTCCAGTAATAATTTAAATAGGCTTGATGACAGGTGTTTCAATCAAAATAAAGATATCATTTATATTAGTATTTGCTTAATGTTTTGTATCAATGGCCATTGTGTTTGGTTGTAGGTAACAGAAACCCATAACCAAAATCCAGTGGTTGAAATATATCAGACGTTTTGTTTTTATTATGCATGAAGAAGTCCAGAGGTAGGCAGGGCAGAGATAACTAATATAGTGGCTTATAGCTGTCATCAGAGATCCTGTGTCTTTCTTTTTCTGTACCACAACTTTAGCATGCTTCCATCCTTGCAGTGGCCTTACGGTTACAAGGTGGCTGCTGGAACCTCAGCCAGTATACATTAAGGCAAGAAGAAAGGATAGGAGAAGAAGAAAAGTTTATTTCAACTGGAGTAGCCCAGAGTTTTGAAGCTTTTACAAGAGCTACATGAGAATGGGTCAACAGCAAGATGTTTGTTAAGGAAGATGTTGACACTGTAGAAAGAGGGGAATGAAAGCAGGAGGAGGCAGAGAAATACCTGGAACCTCCAGACAGGGCCAGCAGCAGCCTTGGCTGATGCCTCCAGAAGCTTCTGGGAGACAGCAGTTCTTCAGAGTCATCACTGTCAGGCTAAGATGCCTGGGCTTTGTACCCCCTCATTGACCACTGGGTGTGGGCTACCCCAGAAAAAACATGACCTTGGGCAAGGCGGCTCTCCATAGCTGAGATTATCCATCAAAGAAATGACAGCTTCTTTAACATATGAACTGCAGGAGACACAATTCAGCTCCTAACAGAAAAGATGTGATGAAGATGAGGGGGGTCCTCCCGTTTCATCAAAGATCCTCATACCTCTGGGTTTAGTTTCAGGTGTTTTGTTGTTCCTTCACTGGCTTCAAGAAAGTCGTATCCCACCCATAGTAGCCTTGCCATCACCAACCTGACCATGGTGACCCAAGTAAGAAGTGCTGGAAACTTGGAACCTGGAGCCCAGACAGGAAACAGCTTTCCTCAGATCTACATTCCATCACAGTGTCCATCTTCATATTAATGCCATGGAATGTATTAAGGAATCATTGTATGATATAGCTCTCTTTGAGGGAACTGTAATTAAATTGTTCTTGATATTCATGTATCTTGTATATGTCAGGGTTAAAAGCTGGGCCTCAGATTTAACACATATAGCTTCAAATCTCAACTTTTATACTTCTAAGTGGACAGCTGTCAAATTCTCCAGTTTTCTCATTTTCACTATAGTTACAATTATATATATATATAATATATACATATATGAATATATGATATATTTCATAAAACATATTTTTATAAGTTTTCTAATATAGTAGGTTATATATAAATATAGTTATAGTTTCTACATTATTGGGTTGTTGCAGATATTAAATACGGTTATGCATTTAAAAGCTACAAAAATGACAGTTGTTATTTGGTAAATGCGTTAGTATGTCCACGTGCTCTACAACAGGGATATGGAAATAAAGGTGCATTTCCTATCCTAAGGAAATCCATACTATACAAGGAAAGTAGCCAGAACATTGTGAGGAAGGCAATAAGAGAGCTAAAAACCAGCTTCCAGGAGGACACAAATGGTGCACATTCACACTGACTGGGATGGCTCCCTGAAGCAAAGGACCTTTTTGCTGAAAAAGTAGGAGAGAAGAAGATATTGAAGAACTTTACAAGCACAGGGGACAGCATATGCAACTCCACAGAGGCAGAGGGATCTGGTCTTTGCAGGGAATCAAAAGAAGCCATTATGCCAGAGGGATAAAGTGTGGTGAAAGAGGAAACCCAGGGTAGGGAGCACGGGGAGCAGGTTCTAAATTTCTGCAGTGGGTGGGGTCTGCCTTCAAAGGGAGTGATTCATGTGGGAAACTAGGTCAGAGCTGCTTTTGGTGAAGGCGAGGATTAATCGCAATCTACATGCTACTGTCTGCATGGGAAAAAAGAATAACAGGACTAATAATAATAGTCCTCCTGTAGGTGTGATGCATGTTTCCAACTTGGTTGCTTGTTTACTTACCTGTAGAAGACACAAGCACCAACATGATTTCTGCCTCCACCTTTTTTTGTGATTCATCATTGGGATTTTGAGTCCTTGTCACTCTAAAACCTTACCTAAAGTTAGGTATTAAGGGAGATAGTGGAAATGGCTGGTGCCACCAACACTCTTTGATAGCTATATCTTCTCCTCATTTTTGTTTCATTTTACCTCTTCTTCTTTATTTTTTTCACCCTTCTTTCCAGTCAAACTTTGATCCTCCTAAAGAGCCTTTGATTAGTCCTTTCAATGTTATTTGACATTAATGAAAGTCTCTCACTGCACATGATAAACTGCGAATCAGAATCCACATTTACTAAGCAATTTCTGTGTGTACTGTTTTCACAGCTGCTCTATCATTTCCATTTTATAGATGAGGAAACTGAACATAAGAAATTCAAATGTTTTGTTCATCAGTATTCATGTTCTCCTTTTCCTTAATTGATTTCCCAGCTCACTTGCATGGAGGTCACATGGTGAGTGCTTACCAGTGGAATGTAAGTAGCAATGACTATCATCTCCAGCCCAAGGTGGTTAAAAGTGGGTAGGCCTTCTCTACACTCTTGCTTTTCCTTAATCACTTGGCTGAACTGGGGGGATACAGTGGAAGACTCCGGGGCTCTTGGAGAAGGAAAAGTCTATGCTGGAAGAACACTGATTTCAAATAACTGGGTAGAGTAAAACACCCCCAACCTAATTTCACCCCCTTAACATACCACTGACCTACGACTACCATTGGACTACGACATGACCCAACAACAAAACTTTATTGTTTTATGCCACTGAGATTTAGGGACTGTTTGTTATATCAATTAACCTACATTGATTAATAATACATAGCTAGGGCAAGATTTGTGTCAATCAACTAATATTTATGGAATACCTTCTCTAAAATGGTGTTATCAGTGCAATTCAGATCATTATATGATAAATTTCAAAGTGAGTTGCCCACACAGACAAGGCATAAGTGATCAAAGTTTGGAGGGAAGGTAAGTTTTGAAGGCTACGCAGAACATACATGGTGCCCTCAATCACATACAAGGCAAAGCCTTCTGTAATGGCCAAGATTCTGCCTCTGGAGCCAGAGATATGAGGTTTAATTCTAGATTTTCTCTTTACTGACTGAATGACTTTGTGGACCCCAAGCCTCAGTTTCCCCATCTGTAAAAGAGAGCAAAAAATACCTATCTTCCAACATTATTATAAAGATTAAATTCAGGGGGTAGTGGGGTGAGGAGAGGGAGAGCCTTAGGACAAATAGCTAATTTATGTGGGTCTTAAAACCTAGAGGATGGGTTGATAGGTGCAGTCAACAGCCTTGGCACACATATACCTATGTAACAAACTTGCACATTCTGCATTTGTATCCTGGAACTTGAAGTAAAATTAAAAAAAAAAAATTAAATGAAATTTTGTGAATTAAGTAAAAATAAGGGGACATCCTTGATAAATAATATTATCACCATTATCAGTGATGTAAGGAGAAATTCATTTTATCACTGGTTTAGACCCAAATAAATCAAGTACCTATCTTGACCATAAGTATTTTCATCTATGCTGTTGGATAGTAGCATGACAACAGCTACCTCATTTTATGGTTTTATTTTATCTAAGAATAATCAAAATCTGAATCTAAAATTTTATCACATAAAAGATTTCACATACTTTGGACCTCCACTAATTCTATCTTCTTACCTTGGATTTACAGTTTATTTCATTACAAAAAACAGTCATTTGATGACTGGGCCTGGCCAAGAGTGCAGCTGTTTCTTCTTGGTGTGCACATTGTTACGCAGAGTGAATGGTTTTACTCTGTCACTTCAATTCATAAGATACTAGTGCTGACAGGGGCTTTGGAGGACATCATATCCAACCTACCATTTCACATGAGGAGGAAACTGAGGCCCAGATGTAGTGCATCACAGATGTCCACATGCATGGTTTTATTTTTTTTTCTCTCCCAGGCTTGAAGGGCTCTAGCAGCTTAACTAAATATCCCAAGTCTCACCCATAAGACTTGACAGAACCTCTGTTAATCAAATCACATGAGAATGGAGGTGCTATAGCCAATCAAATTTTCTGATCCAGTAAATTAACGGAGAATATATTCTTTATATGTATTTCCCCCTAATATACAATAGTTCCCTTTTCCTGCCTTGTTAGGACAGTCTCGTGAAAGAACTCAAATGTGTCTTTAGTTAGCAGTGAAAGTAACCTAGGGATCACTTAGTCTATCTTGTTCATTTTTTAGATGAAAACAAAAAGATTTTATAATTGTTGGCTGGGTTTGGTGGCTCACGCCTATAATCCCAGCACTTTGGGAGGCGAGGCAGGTGGATCACCTGAGGTCTGGAGTTTGAGATCAGCCTGGCCAACATGGTGAAACCCCATGTCTACTAAAAATACAAGAAATTAGCCAGGTGTGTTGGCGGGCACCTGTAATTCCAGCTACTCGGGAGGCTAAGGTAGGAGAAATCCCTTGAAGCCTTGACATGAGTGGAGCCGGGGGCGGGGTGCAGAGTTTGAGGTGATCCAAGATGGTGCCATTGCACTCCTGCCTAGGCAACAAGAGTAAAACTCCATCTCAAAAAAAGGAAAAAAATTTATAATTATCGTACAATGTAATCTTTATAATGACCTTTAAAAAAATTTATTTCCTCCATGATATAGATGACAGAACTAAAACTCCTAACTATTGAATGACCTCCTCTGAATCATAGAACTCATAATACAGACAATGACACAGGCACCAAGCCCAGTTCACTGTCTGCCTGGGCTTACAGTTAGATTGCATTTCCCAGTTGGGTTTGGCCATATAACTGAATTCTCACCAGTGCAATGTAAGCAGAAGGCATCCATGCCAGTTCCCACACATGTTCCTC